CGAAGACGCTATAGCTGCACTTAAGGATGCGTGCCGTGCATTCAAAACGCTGCCTGATTTTGCCAAGAAGCTGGGGGACGCGTACGTGAAACAGGAAAAGTACGAGTCTTTCCAAAGTCCAACGTCCTTGGATCCTCATTCAGTTGCTTCTAGATACGATGACGCTGTCGACATGGCCACATATTGCATTGCCATTCAACCGCACGACCCGTTCGATGCACTCTTCGTTCGTGCCACCGCGTTAGGCAAACTCGGGAAGTATCGTTTGGCTTTTGTTGGTTAGTCCCCTTCAGCTGCCTCCAAGCGTTCTGTGGTTGAGTGTGACGCAGACATTGCGAGATGCATAGTTATGGCGCCAGACTCGGAAGAGGTGGACAAACTAGGTATCGAGTTGCTCGAGCAGCTCTCAGCTGCCAAGGCGCGCGGTGAGAGCGAGCAACAGGGCGAAAGAGCTGAAAGTACAAAGGGGGGCGAAGAGGGTTCTGACGGGGGCGAAGAGGGTTCTGACAATCCAATAAATGCGGAGAAGGGCAAAAGAACTGACGAAGAGTGCGAGCACATGGAGTATCCGCCCGTGACGAGCTGCACGGCCAATTTCTATCTGGACTGCCCATCCGACACAGAAGATTCCCTCCATCAAGGCAACGGGAAACCGTGTAAATCTTACAACATTGGCCGGTGCATATCGGGCAAGGATTGTCGCGGACAACACGCAGGGGACTCGAAGAGTATTCGGGACAGGCTGTACGTGGCCCCTGGACCATGGCAAACTAGAACGCTAACGAGCGGTTTCTAGTGGGAGAAATGTCTGCCTCTTGTACCTCATCGATCGGTGCCGCTTCCCTGACACCCCCGGTGAATGCTGGTATGCGCACTCGCGCGCCCACCTGCCCGCCACCGGCTGGTGGAACAACCCGAAATACTTCGCCTACTACGGCGGCATGTACGACGCCCTCAAGGCAAGTGGCTCGCACGACGTGCTCATGGATCGCGTGCTGGGCGGCAACATGAACGGGACTTGGCTCCCGTTCGAGTATCGCGAGCAGTTCGCTGCAGGGGTGCAGATGCTGCGCAAGCCGGCAGATGCGCAGCGGCGCTTGAAGCGGGACATGGGGCGGGTCATTCGGAAGATATCTGAGATAAATTCAAATGGTGAGGGGGTGGAGGACGACTTGTCCGAGCTCCGCAAGTGGGATGAGGATGAGAACGACGGGTATGAGTTTTCGCAGTCTGACATTGAAGAGCTTGCGTGACAAGGAGTCAGTCCGTGGGACGAAGATGCACATGTGCGCCTTTAAATTTCGTCTCGTTCCTATCTAATCTCGTTGTTTTTCTAGAGGCTCCTCAATGCGCTATGATCTTTGTGACCTGGATCACTTATCCATTTTTCACGACGAACTAGCGACTCGCGGGTAGACACTGTCAGATACCACTTTACAGGGGTTGGCAAATTTTGGCCTGAAAAAGCCAAATTTCGGACAAGGAAACCACAAAATTTTGCCCTCAAAAAGCCAAAAATTAGGACAGACTTTGCGCTCGAACATAGATTTGCAGTTATGTGCCCCTAGCTCAAGACGCGATTCACAAAGATGCATGAAACAAACCAATACGGACGTCCCGTCGCCCGTCCCGCCGTAGGAAGGCAGCGGTGCGAGCGGCATCACGACTTTGGCGGGAAACGGACGGCGACTACCGCCAGACAGACCACCCCTAATAAATCTCCGCCAGAACACGAAAGTGATGCAGATGTCAGCCTCTGTCGCAAAGCAAGCAATCACGCACCGTCAGTCTCCTCCCTCCCTTTTGCCGCAACGAATCTGTCCGCGCGCACCCAAAAGTCCGTCTGGCCCTGCGCGCGCTCCTCCCACTCCTGCGCGAGCTAGAGAAACGGCATGATGACGAAGCGCGGGTCGCACAGCTGCAGCCGCACATGCAGTGTCCGCACATTCATGCTGCGGAACGTCTGGCGCAGGCTGACGGGGACACGCAGTGGCTGAGTGCGGCGCGGAACCCCCGCGTGGCGTGGAGCATGTCGCGCAGCCACCCGCCGACGAACGCGAGGTGCGTCAGCGCGGGGAGGAGCGCGAGCTGTGCACCCAGAGCCCCGGCGTCGCGCGCGCGGTGCCCTCTGCATCGAGGTCGTCCATGAGGAGCAGGTGCGGAACGCGGGGCCGCGCAGGTCCATGTGTGCGGCGTTGCCGAACAGGGCGCGGCGTTGCCGAACAGGGCGTGCATGCTGATGGCGAGGCGGGTGAGACGCACCGCCTCGAGGTGTGGCAGGAAGCGACGTGGCTGCGCGGTACATTTGGAGAGGACGGCGTCGGTGACAGCATCGCTATCGGCGTCAGCTCGGATGCGACGGTGTCAAAGAGGCCCATCCCGCCAGAGGGAGTCGGGTTTGCTGCTCAGGCGGTCGCGGATGAATTTGAGTGCCGGGTCATGTAACACAACACAGCAGCGGCGCAAGCCTGGAGCGAGTTCAAACTTCAGTTGACAAGAATATCCAGGAAAGAGTGACGCACCATAGCAGCGTCTGTTTTGCGACGAGAAGGAGGGTTGGGACGGATCTCAGGTCCTGGAGAGCAGCGATTTCAAAGATGTCCCTGCGATGGGTCTGAGGCTTCAGAGAACACAGGGCGGAGTACTTGTGTTACCAGTACGCGCACTCAGTTTGTTCGCCGACGACCACGATGCTCGTGCTGGTGAACGCCCCGAATGCACGCGCACGCTAGGCAAGCGAGTTTTGGGTAGTGACGAGCTTACTGCGTCCCAGAATGAAAAGAAAAAGCGATCGCATATCAGGGTCAATGAAAACACAGGTAAAGACAAAGATACATATGGGATGGGGCGAGCTATGTGCGCGGACCATAGATAGAGTGCGTACACATGCATATGCATGTGGGAAGGGAAAGTGGGCAGGGAGGAAGGAGAATGGAAGGAGCAGGAAGAGTCATTGAATCGTAGCTGAATCCGAGCCATAAACCTCCAATCCGTGTCCGCCATTTCCGCGTCCGCCCGCAATATTGCGCATCCGTAGGTGATTCTGTGATGTAAGCAAAGCAAATCCGGCTGGCATAAGGAGCACAGCAAGATCTGGGTCTGGCCCTCATTTGGGCGCGGTAGTAATATCGTGTCGTTGTCGGGAATCCACGGACAGGGGGATGTCTCGTGGAGTGCGGAGAGCAGTTTGTCCGGATGGGTACTACTTCGATAGCAAGTGAGGACGTGAGTTGGCAAAACGGCGCAAAAGGGCACTCACAACGCATGGAGGCGAGTTCATGCGCCGGAGTCGAGACGCTCCCCGCGCGCGAGCACGCGCACGACGCGCGGGCCGCCGTTGCCCGTGCCCTCTAACGCGAGCGCAGCCGGGGGGCGCTCAACGAGGCTGCCGCCGCCCTTTCCGCCGCCGCCGCCCGCGGCACTCCCGCGCTTCGTCTGCGTGCCGGAGCGCGGGCGCCGCGGGGCGTTGGCGTCGCTCTCGCCGGCATTGGCGGTGGTCGATGGCGCAACGTGGAGCACCGCGATCTGCGCGCGGGCGGCCCAGTGCGTGACGAGCGTGCCAGCCGCGCGGGGCTCGTGCTTGCTTAGGGCGTTGGCGGCGCCGTCGGCGGTGACGGTGGCTGCGGCGTCGGGCCTAAGAACCGCGAGACGCACGGTGAGCGGCGTCGTCTCGGTCTTGGCCTGGCTTTCCTTGCCCGCGTCTGAGGGGCTGACAGCAGCATCGATCTCCCAGCGAGCGCAGCAAACCGTGCGGCGGGTCCATTCTGGCGCAATGTCGTGAGAGTCTGCTCCGGGTGCTGGGCTTGCGGTGGAGGCTTCGCTGGTCGCCACGGGGTCTGCGGCGAAGGAGATGGAGTCCCATGGAACGAATGCGTTATCCTGCTGCACGCGGATGCGCGGGTTCGTGCCCACTTGCGCCTCGAGGATGCGGGACGCCGCGCGCGCACGTTGTGCGATGGGGGAGGTGCCCTTCTTGAGCAGATCCAGTGTGTTGAGCGCTATTGCAGAACTTGACTCAGCGAAACCGTTGACCTGGGAGCGGGCGAGTGAGACGCACCTTCGAGTGGGACGATGACGACCTCCGCGCGGCCGTCGCGGCACCACTTCTTCACCTGATGCAAGGCATGCACCAGCACACTAGCGTCGACGACAACAACATCCGCGTCTTTCTCGTCCTCCATCGAGCGGCGTGCACTGGCCGCTGTGACTGGGGGTGTGTTCTTCGGAAGAACAAGAACGCCGGCGTTCTTCTTCCTAGGGGCCGCCTTGGCGGTGGTGGCATTGCTTCCGGGCTGCTGTGTGCGCTTGGAGACCTGCTGCGGGTTCGGGGACACGCTCCGCCAGTTCCGCGAGGCAGCAGACTTCTCTAGCTGCTCCACTTGGTGATTGAGAAAGGCGGCACCGAGTGCGCGCGACATGGCCTGTAGATCGTATTAGATTCATGAAGGACGAGAGATCACGAGCAACCTTCTTGTCTGTCATTCCGTTTTAAAAGCTACCAGATTGTCTGGGATGCGAGAGTGCGTAGAGGGCTCTTGCTTGATTGCAAGGGTCCTTGCTAGATTGCAGAGGAATTCCCAGGTAAATGGAGGTAATCGAGGCGTGTGTACTGGTGAAGTTTCTGTAGAAATGCGGAGAAGGATAGCGGCGTATTTGAGCAAGGCTCGGAGCTCGGAGCAGAGCAACAGTGGTGAAGCGGTGCTAGCAGTGCTAATAGTAGCAGTGCATTATGCATGATGACTGCGCACTCCCCTTTTCGGCATAACTCGGAGTCTTTCCCAATATAATTGACGCGCAAGCAGACATTTTGGATAAAGCCAGCGATCTGCGAGAAAACTGCATGCGGCACATTCAAAATCCAATTATTTCCAGCTTAAAAAATGAGAACAATTTAAATATCACACCACACTTTCAGCCGTTTCAGCCATTTCTGAGAGGTTCTTTGAAAGTTCATGCCTTTTTCTAAGCGGAAATAATTGTTTTGAATGTGGGGGAAAAAGTTCCGGTACGGGGAATCGAACCCCGAGCTCCCGCGCCCAACATATAGCTTAGCAAGCTTACATAAGCTACTTGAAAGGCGGAAATGTTAACCATTACACCATGCCGGATTAAAAGTAACTCGACAAATATAAGATAGGATGTACAGTGAACACGAATTCTACTTCAGAAATTTTATCAATCGTGGATTTTGGTCATTGCAGAAAGGACCCTTTGAAGCCTTTCCACTGGCAATGTTTCAAACACCAGAGTGCTCAACACTCGGTTGTTTGACAGCTCTGGTCCGGTTTGGCTTTCTGCAACTCGTCTGGTCAGTTCTTACTCAGCTCAGCATCGGTATTCAGCTCTCAGTAGCCTCCAGCTCAAACCCTGAGTGTTTCATACCCAGTGATCTAGTTCAGGCTCCCAAGACTTAGGTTCTGCTTTCACATATACTGACCTCAGGATGTTGGATGCATGGCTGTTCTACATACACCTCAACAGCTCAGCTCAGACCTCCGAGACCTTTGTTCTTGCTTTCATAGTTTGATGGTGTACCGGGGAGGAAGCACAAAGGTATCATGCAATAATATATATCAAAACGATGTTTGTCTCAAAAATCTAGGCCCTTGCAGCCGTCCATTGTTTTGCGCTAGGGACAACAATTTTGAGCTGATACTGTAGTATTTCGTTCAATTGATAAGGCCATTTGGGGTGTGACATGGCCTTACGAATTGACCCTTTCGTAAGGTGATGGATGGCTGTGTGACTTACAAAAAAAATTCGTATCTGGCACACAATTTCTGCCCCACAGGGCTGCTCTGATTTTTTTTTCTTTTTTCCTATTGGCCGAAACCATTCGTAAGCCCTTCTGGGGACATGTGACTTACGAAAAAATTTCGTAAATTTGGAGGGTGTGTGACGCATGACTTATCAATTGAACGAAATACTACAGTAATGTGGGCTGATCCGGCTCTTGCCTGCCCATTTCCTTCTGTTTATTTGTATAAATAACTATTCTATACAACACTACAAAGCCATGAGACTGTTCGGACAAAATATTAGACATGCTCAAACAGCTGTTCCAATGCAGCTGGGTCAACACCTCAGCATATTCCTATTTCAGCCACATAGAACTCCGAAAAAAATCAAACATATGGCCTTAAAGCTCTGCACGAGTGTCACGGGTAAGGTACCCATGACAAACCTATGGGTTTTCGGCCCTCCAAAACCTAGACCTGTACCTGCAGGTATTTAGTTCCCACAGATAGGCCCACCCACAGGTCCATACCTGCGGGTACATGGGTGTGCACAGGTATTAAGGCCTGACAGGTGTTGAATGGGTACCCTCAAAGGTACCTGTGGGTTCATCGTAGCAATAAAACATGTTTTACTCTACATCGTCCTCCACCTGGTCCTTTGCACTCTCATTGTCCCCGCTGTGGTCTGACCCTGAGTCTACCTCAATAATATCGCCCTCAGCATTCAGCTTCTTCTATGGTCTCAGGCTCTGCCGACAGCGCGTGTTGTCACTTCGTGACCATGCCACTGCTGTGCAAAAAGGTGCGCTCGATGTCCACTGGCACAGAGGTAGGTGCGGGGAAAGTGGTTAAACGTAGATTGGAATTGATATGACTGAAAAAAGTGCACTGTGTTCGTTGGCATCGCGCTTGGCCAACAAGGGACATACTGTGTGCTCTGGCTCAGGTGATGCCTGTGAACATTGAAAGAGTCAGAAGAGAATTCCACTCAAGGGCCAACAGCCACAGCACGTACCACTCACGCACGCTTCGAGGGACCCTTGCCTCGGTCGTCCTCCTGAGAGAATGTCAGTGAAGAGTCAAAATCAACCACCGATAGCTCACCTGAGCTGTCAACCATTTATCCTGATGCAAACGGTTAGCGCCAGAAAGATGGGAAGAATGATGTTGTTACTTTTTCCTCATTCTCTAGCCACTCCCTAACATTTGACAACGGAGTTTTGGAACTGCATCGCTCCCCTGATTTCGGATCGTCAATCCGGAAAGATTTCACTACGCAGTCTCCGGGGTTGTCGAAATGCTTGCGGATGTGGGTGAACTGGCGCCGGCACTGAACACATTGATGCAGCTTGTGCTCTGTGCGGCCTGGTGTAGCCAAGAACTCAGCATTCTACGATATCAGTCAATCGAGAGGAGGTCAAAGAGAATGAGGCAACACGCACATCAGTGAGTTCTCACTTGAGGACGACAGCCTTGATCCGTTTGCTGTTGTCGTCAAAAGCATGATATTTGTTTTGCATGTGGCAGTTGGTGCCAGAAATGTGCCTACCAATGTTGTCGTGGGGAGTATTGCACTTGAGGCAAAAGCCTGCAGTGGCGGTCGCTGTCGCTGCCTTGTGCTTCCGTTAGCGACTGGGTGGGGCGGCGGCAACCTCGGTGTCACTGTTGCTGAGGTCGGGAGGCGGCAGCTTGAGGCGGTGGACCGATGCGACACGAGAAGAACCGCACATGTCTTTGGACATGACTTTTGAATATATCGGTACGTAGAAATCTGAGGAAACGTCAGCACTGAGATGCATGACAGAGCGGAAGACATACTGATGCCAGTGGGTGCATTGCTCAATCGGTAAAGATTCATCGAAAACGCACCGGGGCAATACATTGGTGCGAGACAAACACGATTGACGACCTCACCGTGGAATTCAGGGAGTGCCCCATCGAAGCCAGAGCCATTTTCGTACTCCACGGCATTGTCGACAGCGGCCATGAACTCAACGCCGACTGGGGTAAGGTCAACCTCCCCTTGATGGTGTTGGCTGAAGCGCGAGAAGAGTTCAGTGAAATGACACATTTGGTGATCTTCCCAGACGAGGCTATCGCCAACCTCGTTGACATCCCTAGGAATTGTTGTTTAGTAGGCAGAAAGCAGCAACACCATAGTATGCACCATTCCCCACAAACGGTGTAGTAATTCACCTGGACATGCTCGTGCAAGTTTGTCCCGTGAACTTGTGTGAAGTGCCGTTCCCATGACTCCATCCCGTGCTCGTCCTCGAGATAGAGCTCGCCACCGTCAAGCCACTGGCATCGCCGGTCGGGGTTGCGGGCACTCAACGAGGTCATCCAATTCTTGTGTGTCTCGGCGTGCTTTACAAATGCCTTTCGAGACGAGAAAAGCTTATCTTTGCTCTTGCACAGCGTCCACTGGCAAAGCAGCGGGGTAAAGTTTTCTTCGAGATAGTCTCGCGCTGTGTTTTCCTGTGCCTCAGACAGGCAGCAATGGATATGCTCCCCCACGTATTTAATGCCACGCCTGACCGCACGTTGAGACAAGTTGACCATGCAGCAAAAGAGAATGACATACCTGCAATCCTGGTTGCATACTGGACATCGTTCCTCCTTTGTTGGTGATTCACCTGGATAGCAAAGGGTGAACTGGTGTTCCAGTAGACCGAGGTATCCGTTCAAAACAGCAAGAGCTTCCTCAGTCACATTGTCATACGAGGAGTGGTAAAGTGTATCACAAAGATCCGCCTCGGGATTGAGGACGTCGAGGTGGGCTTGGAGGCGGAGAGCCAGTTGGCTTGGCAGCTGGGCATTTTCTTTGCCTGTGGAAGTGACAATTCACGTCATCGGGGGACCCTGCCCAGTCTTGGCTGCGAGTGGTGGTCGTGCCGTCGCTAGGTGTGGCTCGGGTGGGTTGGCAGGCTGACACAGGAATCAGAGAAAGAGGATGGCAAACAGAATACAACGCACTGCAAGTCCCAGTTGCCGTCGTGAATTACCCGCCATGTGCTTATCTTGGGCCAACTTTACATGCACTCTGCTCTCACGCTGGATGACTGCGTTGTACTGAGAAACGTGGGCCTGCAACCGTTTCGTTGCCACGCGGAGGAGGCCTTGAACTTCAGTGAATTCCTCTTTGCCTTCTGGAGTCTCGGCGTCGATGGACTTGCGTCGCAAATGAAGTTGCTCGACCTCCTGTAATACCAGGGACGTGAGCCACATTCAATGTAAGGTTGGTGGTAAAGCTCCGCACGAGTGTCCACGGGTTTTTGACACTTTCCGTAATGATGGCGCTGTAGAGCCAAAGATTCTGAGCAGAACAAAAAAAGATTTGAGCCAAATGGTGAAGAATTGAGAGAGCTATGTCCTGTCCAATTTTTGTTCAAATTAGGTCACATCCTGTGGCTCAATTGGGCTGTGACATCACGGGTACCCGCGGGTTTCAACCCGTACGGGTTTTTGAAACCCGTGACCACAATAAGTCGCACTGTGCGATCAATTTATGCCTAATTGGGCTGAAACTTGATCAGGCTGTAACTAGCTCAATTCTTCACCGTTTGGCTCAAACTTTTTTTTGTTCTGCTCAGAATTTTCTGCGCTACAGTGCTATCATTATGGCAAGTGTCAAAAACCCGTGGACACTCGTGTGGAGCTTTAGTTGGTGGTCGTACCCGTTTTGTATGCTCGCGCATTGCTATCAGCTCAGGTTCATTGAGCAATTGTGCCCTGTCATGAACGCCCAGTTGTATGGGTGCCGTGGGATCCATGCCAATGGACAGTGAGTTTGCAGACTAGAGCCAAATGTCAGCGGCACCTATGGCCAGGAGAAACATATACTCGAGCCAATTCAGTGGCATTTGAATCTTGCCCCCGACCATGCCAAATGCCGCCAAGATCATGCGTGGACAAATGAGACTGGTACGCATTCTGATACATGGTAGAGCTGGGAGCGTGATTCATCAGGGCCTGTCGGTCACAGTCCGGCAGCATCTCCGCAGACTTGCCCACCGCTCCCCGCCTCCAGGAGTTCATAGTGAGGTGCACTTGAGAGCGGTTAGCATATGAAAAGGAACTCAATGGATCAATATGTATACATATATATCCCATCTGGCGGGAGAGGCTGCGAAGACGCTCGCCGTGAGTAGACGCCCATAGCGCATCGGTTGGCGAGATGATGTAGACACCATTTTCGACAACATTCGCTCGAAAAACTGGCAGGTTTGCCACAGATTGCCTTGACTGAGAGAACGTGGGCAGCTGTCGGTGACACGGCTGGGTGAAAGACATCTTTGGGCAGGTGGACATCTTCAAAAATGTTGTCGTCGAAAGCGAGATATAGCAGCAGGGCTACCAGGCAGTAGGCT